CACGTTATATGGGTTGAGGAGGGTTAACGAGTGCACACAGCCAGCCAGCCATTCCCTTCTTCCCCACCCCACCACCAACCATACCGTTGCACGCCCTGTCTCATTTCTAGCTCCCCACCAGCCCCGTCTGCCCATCAATCTCACGACCCAGCCGCCCCTCATCCTCGCACGCAGCCCCCCTCAACCTTGCGCGACTCGCAGCCACTAAAAGCCACTAAAAGACATCCCCCAAACTTTAACTCTTTTGTTCTACTCAGCTGTGCGTTTTCGCGCTTAACAACCACATCGATGCTTAAAACCCCCCAGTCAAATCAAAGCCTTAAAACTGAAAGCCCTCCTTCCAGGCCTCATTTTAGACGTCGCATCAAAGTCCAGGTTCGATAGCACATAGCACACAGCATGGGTGGTGTCGGCGTATCCGTCGGCCTATCCGTCGGCGACACGGCGCAGGAAAAGCGACAACAGATGCCACCTTTAGGGGGACATGCTCAAGCAACCACCAACACCGAAATACTGCAGACCGGCTTGAGAAAGGGAAAAAGACAGCTAAAAGACAGAAAAACAATTTCACGTAGCTGCTCAAGGACCTCGTGCGTTGCTGTTCGTTGTTCACATGTGTATAACATCCTCCTCCCTTGGCGAGGAGGCATTTACTCAATATTTATCAAGCCAGCAAGATCCCTACAGGACGCACACACACACACGCACACATACACACGCGCACACATACACCCCCCCCCACACACAAACGAATTCTTCAAGGAGGGAGCCCCCCAGGGACCCTCTCTCGCCTTTCCCCCTCTCCCACAATCCCCTTGCCTGGAACCCAACAACATCCAACTAGCAGTTGACAGTTGGCGGTTTCCGCTGTCATTTTATAAAACCCTAAGTCCCAACACCAAGAACAACACTGACCCAAACCCGCCTCAGCCCCGGGATTCAGTTTACTTGAACAACAGAAAACAGGGGGCAACACCCTCAGCAGAACGACCTATCAGCGGATATATACAAAGACAGACAGACAGACAGACAGACAGACAGACAGACAGATCAGGCAGATAGACGCACCTGCACTACAGGCAATCCTAGAATAGCAGCTATTATCGGAGACTGAGCTTGTCTGTGTTGGAAGGATTGTTGAGATGATGCGCGCAGTCATTGCCACCACGGGTGTTCGCAGCCCCCGCCGCCGCTGCCGCCGCCGCCCCAGTCGGCTGCTGCTGCTGCTGCTGCAGCCGCCGCCACTCCTGGAACAACTGCCATTCCGCCGGGGTCACACCTGACGGCGGCGGCGCCGCCGCCGATGCCGCTACCGGTACTGCCGCCGCGTTGCCGTGGTCAAGAGGGCCGCTGCGACACGTTGGCGCTGCGTGGCGATGCTAAACGGTGATCCACTGGCATAGTGCCCTTCGGAGACTCCTGAGCGCTACACCTCACGTCCGTCGCGCCGCCGCCGCCGCCGCCGCTGCCGCCGGCTTCCACGACGCCTGCCGTGGGTGGCCCGCGAGCTCGCTTCCGTGGCCGCTCGCCGTCCGTCAAACCGCCAGCCACCTCTGCGCGCGAGCCGCCGCCGCGACGCGGTCCTGTATTGCCTGTTTTGGCATCGGCGCCGCGAGACCGCTTCCCACATTCCAAGTCCTCGGACCATGCTGCTGCGCGGCGTTGTCGCCGCTTGCTGTGTTTCATATCGCTGCTGCCCCGCGACCGACTCTTGTGCCTAATTTTGCCATCGCCGCCGTGCCGTACGTGTACTGTACGGCGCTCTTCGCCGCTGCGGTGATCCGTACAGTGTTGGTGACCTCTGTATCCAACGCTCCCGCCAAGCGCGTCGCCACCAGCGCTATCCCCGCTGCTACTGCTGCTGCTGCCGCCACCCGTACTGCTGCTGGTATCCTCACTGCTGCTACTGCTGCTGCTTCCGCTGCTGCTA